TATGCCAAAATTTCATGTTTTCCGTCCCGTTTTTGCTCATTTCTCGGACGCAAAATGAGCAAGAACGCTCATTTGTACATCATTCTAGACAGAAATAAATGGCCTTTTTAGAGAGTGAACCATGAATGGGGAATTGTTGGCAGTTTTCTCAAAAAATGCTTGAATTCAAGAAGTTTCAGATTTGCGTGGTTTTTTTTGAGTTGCAAAATCCACTTGAACATGACGCTGCTTTTTTCGAGGTTTCTCAAGAACCATTCGAGCCACACAATTCGTTTTGGCATCGTTGGATAGAGAATTGAATGGGGGGTGAAGACCCCCATGACCCCCCCTCCTGGATCCGCCCTTGCCTAGAACATTAGAAAAACCCTACATTAATATGGGTCTTAGAAAGAAGAAGGGTGGAAAAGTGCTAAATGAGGTAAGCGAAACGAGGACTGCAACACGACATCAACAAACATTATAATTTTTTATGTTCTCTCTTCAACACTTCCATGACGCAGTCGGTTTCCGCGGTTTGTGATGAAGATATTGCTTGGTCACTGTCACCTTACCATGACCGGGCTAAATATTTTCATTATCATTATGCGCTAAATATTTTCCTTAATTGAACTATGATGACCATTAATTGCTGGTCTTCACATGTCACTAAAGAAAATTCCATTTTCTGACGCAGTTTGTCGAGAATTTGTCCAATTTCGCACAAATCCTTTCTCCTCGAGCGCGCATCCTTGAAAAAATTCCCAACACCAAGCAGAAAAAAACGCACGAGCGCATTTCCCCCCCATATGTGGTCAGCTGGTCGATGGTACTGGTGTAGCAAGTTCCAGTAAATGGGACCAGAATAATGGTACTGTGCTTTTAAGTGAAGAGTGCGAGTGCAAGTTTTGTTAGTACCTACTGGACTTTTACTTTACATGCAGGTGGTTTCACTTTAGAATACTTGTTACTCTACGGAAATGTAAGTATTAGCAGTCTTAAGCTACTTTATTCGGGCTCTTTACACGTAAGAACAACATCAACTTGCAACTCCTGACAAAACTTGACTTCATTAGTCAACTATAATAACTCTTTTAAAATATTTGCATGTTTTGCACAGATATTATGACGTGACTCACTCAATAAACGACAATGCAGACGACGTGGAACTCAAAATCGAAGAGAAGTTCAAAGTTAATGGCCCGGCTTTTGGCTCTTTCTGGTTGGACGCAAAGGCTTTTTAAGTGATTATTGAAGCGAGTTGCGTTGGTATGAACCACGAGAAAAGTGCAAAAGCGACCCGTAAAATTCAAAGAAATTACATAATCTGAGGCAAAATCCATCTCCGTCTGCTCCTATATGGAATGCTGACTAAAAGTGACCCAGAAAATCACCGAAACCATCATGAATGTTCAATCAAATTGACATTGAAAACAGCATTTTTCGGACTGAATTTTAGACGCACCCTCCGACCAAAACAGCATTTCAAGGTATTTGCTGATGAGGCAATTTGCATAAGATTTCGGAATTTCTAAGCAAATCTGAAAATGCCAATAAAGCGACGGCATTGACGGTTCAATAACAACAAATACTCTGCAGCGCTGTTGTTTCTCTTTGTCGACCCTGAAGACGGTTATTATACCGGGTGTCCAGCCAGACTTTTATGTTTTCTTCAATTAACATCCCAGTAGTCTCATTCACGGTCGGCGATGTTTCAGTAATCGTCGAGGTTTTTCGTCGCGCCTTTATGAAAAGTTTCTTAAAACGATCAATAGCAAAAAGAATGGTTTATTATACAGAGGGTGAGTTTCGATGACTACTAGAGAGATCTTGGAAACTGCAGCAGACGGGAAACTGTACCAAGCCAGTTTCGAATTTACGGCACCATCAGGGAATTTTTCAAAAATTCCCAAATTGATTGGGTTTTTCAAGAGTAGTAGCTTGGGACATTCGCATTCAACTGCGAGTTTTTCCATCAATCACAGAGATGCCAACTTAGGTTTTATGACCTTTGGTACAGCAGAGTCGGTGGCATTATTTCCCAAAGTTGCGAATTTGCGCCCTCATCAGGGTTTTTTTGACAGCATTTCAAACTTTATTTATTTTTTTCGGGCATTATCACACATGCTGATCTTTCACGTTTAATAGCTTTCGAGCCGCTTGAGACATCATCTTCTGGGTTTCGGCACTTTGTGAGATCACGTCACTGGTCTCAACGCTGAAAGTTTCAAGTTTACGCCATCATCAGGAAATTTTTCAAATTGATTGATTTGCTCGAGGGTTGAAGTTGGTTAGTTGAAGGAAGGTGGGCAAACTAGAAATAACAAAAATCTTAAAAATCTTAAGAAACTTTATACTATCTATCTATTGCTATTTTGTTAAATATTTAATAAACAAATCCAGATTATTTATGAATCTCTAAAACGAAATCCTATTGGTTGTGACGTCTCTGGTCATATAAACGGCGGATTGTTTACGTTCTGTGCATAGTGTTTAGTTGTGTGGTTGTGTTTCAATAATTATTTTGTGAATTTAAATAATTTATAGTTTGTGTTAAACTAAAAAATCGCAGAAGGATTCCTTAAAGCGTAAACAAACAATTTACCATGTGTACATATTTTTACGGTTACCGAATTTTTAAAAAACGACGAACGCTTTAATTCAGCCGAATTTATAGGTGTCAAAGCAGCAGCGTAAGTAAAAATCCGTAAATTCATTATTAGTTACTCTCTCCTTAATATACTAATCTGTCTGTATTGGTTTAAATTACGTAAATAATATATAGAATTTCACTTATTCAACTGAACCTAACTTATACACATGGCTGCTTTAAAAGTAAAATGAATAGAATTTGCCCAGAACACAAAGTACGGTCGAAGGCATACTCTATCTGCCTCATCATTAGCTTTTTGTTCGTACTTTCATTAAAATGATCCTCGCAACCAAAAAACATTGATTTTGATTTAGGAACATCACGTCTAGCTGCTTTGAACCATAAAACATTACGTGCACAATCATGGGGAACGGTTAGAAAGAGCTTGTTTGGAGCACTTATTGAGGTATTCTTGCACCCTGGCACAAAACACCACTTATTTTGTGATCCATACATGTCACTATATTCCCTTATGCAAGACAATAATAATAATCAATAAAATGATGACAATCACAAGAGCTTAAATAATAAAACAAAGCTGCGAAAACAGCAAAATAAATACGAGACACTTTGTTGATATGACCTGCTACGTCACAATCGGGATAGGCAACCGACGATACGGATTCGGCGTTTTCGGCGGAAAATATCTGATTTGAATTTAAATGCGCTTTAAAATTATTACAGACTTTTTTGCAAAAAAATTATAACACTGTAATGTTTGCCCTAACTATTTCCTATATATTCACATTAAAAGTGAAAACATCCAATTGAGTAAATTGAATAAATAACGGCGATTTTTCAGGTTTAAAGTAAAAAATGAAATTTTATTGTTGCGCAGTCAGCATGCAAGGGAAATTGATGTGCAAAAGGCCACAAGCCATGCCATTTGGAATGAGTTCAACGCCAACATCCACAACCAATTCTAACAATGCAACTAATGCGTTCTGGCTGAATCTTACGCAACATCCGAATTTCCTATTAAGCAACAATTAACGCATACCTATTGGAATGACCCAGAACGGCGATTACTTTGACTGTTTATTATATTAACCCATTAGCAAATCATGTATAAGCAGTGCAACCGGCACTGGTTTCACCTACATACTACGCGCGCAATTGGAAAACGAAAGTACGAATGAAAATACATTGCCAAACTGCGAAGGTTGCATGATGCTTCAATGGAACATGCCTTGGGTGTCGATTCCTCCGAAGGCATCTCTCCGAAGATTATTGCAATATTTCATGTTTTCCGTTCGGTTTTGCATGTTTCTCGGAAGCGAAATGAGCAAGAACGCTCGTTTTTACATCATTCCAGAGATAACTAAATGGCCTTTATTCGAAGTTTCTCAAG